GCGAGGAGGAAACACATAGTAAACATCAGGCGAAGACTGATTTTGAGGATACCATTCTCCACTAATATCAATTTCGCATGAGTAAGGCAGATGCTCCAAACAACCATCCTAAAACGTGTCGAACACAAAGTGCTAGCACTGACCTAATCCAAGCGATCAAGGGTCATGTTCGCCAAATCCAAGACGATTGCAGATATTCTGCACAACCACCGCAGGATGGTTATTAAACAGTTTGAGTGTTCATTCCAGCATCTTGATTTTCCAAAACAAGACGGGCATATCTCTTTTCGATTGTCCGATATTAGTTCTAACCGAATGCTGTGTAATTCAAAAAATATTCCTAATTTTAAAAGCAAAGATAAAAGAAAGGCGATCAAAAGAGCAGTTGGAACCTTGCTGTCGTCTCTAAAGTACTGTAGGACAGACCAAGCAGAATTAGATGTCGGACAATGCTTGTATCATAATTTAAAAATGGAACATGTTGACGGAATTGGTGTTGCTGATATTTTGGATTGGAAAAATAACCTGAGAGACCTGGTTTGTTTTCCGTTAGACCGAAATCCAGGAGAAACATTCGTTGAATGCCCTCATGTTTTTTTTAAAAAAATGAATTCGATGTTCACTGGAGTGCCGAATTACGTGATGATTGATTTAAGTATATCTGACATTCTGGATCGGCGTTCAACACGAGGTGCAACTTGAACTTCTCGACTAGAGCTCGTTGTCGAGGTCAGTTCCGGACGTCCCGCACCGATCCAAGTAGTAGGTGCCTTGGTCCTTTAACCCTCATCCTCTTACAAGAGGAACAGGTCGCGCTGAGACTTTTTCCCTTACAGGGATAGAGGTCTTAGGGTTGCGGTGCGAGCACCGGTATCCCCCTCTTGCTGAGGCCACAAACTAGAAAAAGAGAAAATTCATTTCAAGGTTATTTCCAAGTCCATTTCAAGTTGCCTAGGGTCCCCTGACTAGGCAATGCAATATTCAATCCTCAATCATTCAATCCAATGCTATTTCCAACGCTGATTCTCATAACTGGTCCGTCAGCCTCTCATCAACAAGACCATCCACGTGGCTGGTCTGGTGGTCATTCTCTCAATAGCCATTTCTCAAGACTGACCCTTCCGCCCATTCAATCCTCGATTCTCATTCCTCAACACCCAATCTTTGTGACCGTCCCATCGGTCCCTGCCCCTCTTGGCTTTAAGGTTCCGCCTCTTTTATTTTGTCCTTCTCATTCATATCTTTTTTCCGCCCCCTTGGCAATTTCAGCGGCCGACCACCGGCCTTTTCCATTTCTTCCATTCATCTCATTGGCTATTTCAATGACCGACCCACCGGCCTTTTCCATCTCTTCCATCCATCCATTGGCTATTTCAATGACCGACCCACCGACCCTTTTCCTTCTCTTCCATCCATCCATTAGCTATTTCAATGACCGACCCACCGGCCTTTTCCATCTTATTGCTCATTCCAACACATTCTCAATCAATCTTTCTCAATCAGCCTTTCTCAATCCAATATGCAGGGGACCCCAGTGCCTATTTCAAAAGGAATGACCCTGTGTATCTTTTTAACGCAGAACGGGGGAATTAAACTCCCGTTAAATCTCGTTAAACTCCAAAAAATCCCGTTGAATTCGCGTTAAACACGAAAATTGGCCGCTCCCTCGCTTTTCGGAAAAACGGAATTGATGCGCGGTGTCCGGAACACGTCGCCCTAGACAAAAAAAAAAAAAAAAAA